GAGACTCAGTTGTGGATCGTTTCTTAAAAACGGTGGACATTGCTTCGTGTGCTGTATGGGGAAGTAATGCAGAACGGATGCACTGTCGAAGGGAAGCATTCGCATTTCAGACCCGCTTTGGCCAACCAGCACTTTTCCTTACATTGACACCTAATACTGACAACTCGCTGGTAATGGCCCATTACGCTGGCATAACCAGCGTGAGCAGCGCGTTTGATTTACTTGAAGCTAGATTGCCATCCAAGGCCGAGCTGCGTCAGGCAAGCCTAAAAAACGACTGCATTTCAACTCGATTATTTATGCGAGCGATTGACGCGTTTATTAGACACGCACTTGGTATAGACCCTAAGAGTAAGAAACCACTCAAGTCGCCAGGCCTGTTCGGTACAGTTTGCGCATATTTTGGCATGGTTGAGACTCAAGGGAGGGGCACGCTTCACATACATTTTTTGATCTGGCTTTCCGATTGCCCGCGTAATTCGGCTGAAGTAGAAACAATTTTGTTGAGTCCGGAGGGAGACGCATTTCGTGAGTCGGTGAAGGAATACGCTAAAAGCATAGTCTCGAATCAGCTTCCACTTTCGGTCGACAAAGGGACATGCAGATGTTGCGGAGCTAGCTACGAAAATTTAATTGGTCTGAAGATAGATCCCCATTCTAGACAGGATCCCTGTAGTGGTTTGTTTAGTACCGAAGCAAAGAAGCGGATCAGTGAACCTCTTCTTGTTGAGTGCGGGGGATGCCACACGAAATTCAGTTCGCAGCATGTGTTGCGTCAAGTCTTGTTGGAGAACCGAAGGTTAATGCCGGCGTGGAATGGTCATCTGAGTAAGGATGAAGCGGAGCACCAAGCGAAAATCGAAGCGGTTTCACGTAATACGCTCGAAGAAGCTATTTACTTAGTGGATGAACGGGAGCGTTACTACGAACGTATAAGTCCCGATGATATCAAAGAAACACCTGAGATGACCTTTAGCCAAGCGACTGAGTTTTTGCAGTCGATAAACTTTCCAAGTATGTGTTACAGTAAAGCCGATCAAGATATTTTTCAAAATGATGAAATCACGAGAAAAATTGAATCGACCCCTCCGTCGCCTATGGATAGCCGAATGGCTAGGTCGTCAGTGGATTATATGGTTTCTTGCTTAGTTGTATTGCTCAATCAGCACTGGTGGGGACATACGACTAGTTGCTTTAAGGCGTCGAGGAATAGTCGTGATGCTAGCGAATGCAGGTATCAGTACCCGCGTGAGCGTGTGGAATATGCTTCATTCAATGCTTCTGGTGTTGTACTTCCGCGAAACCTTGCTCAAGAATATATCAATGGTTTCAACTATACACTTATGGCAACATTTAAGTGTAATCATGACATACAGTTACTACTGGGTGGAACCGATGCGCTCGATCGTATTTACTACGCCTGTAAGTATGTCACG